AGGTGCCCCAATTCAGCTACAACAGAACACCATGACCTCACAAGGGGGGGGGCAAGAGGGGGGGGTTGTTTTCCTTTTATCAATCGCTTACTCTGGGGTGCCTGAGTACTATTTTCACCCAGCCCTTCCCTTGGCAGCCTAGCAGGGTGGGGCAAACACAAGCAGATGTAAGTGAGCGCTTTGGGCAGAATGTGTCTGTCAGCAGCCGCTATTTATGGGTGTTCACCTCACCGGGCGAGAAACTTCCAGAGCCTGAGCACCACGGGACCCACCCACACTGCAAACATGAGTCTAAAATACACCTCCAGCTGGACACGGCACATCTCACTGCAGAACACATAGCAGTGCTAATGCTGTCACTGGGAAAGTCCTCCTCTGACCTCACAAGTTATTACAAAAGCAAGTATAGTACACGGACACCAAACAGTAAATCATTTATTTACCAGAAATGAAAGTTGCCACTTTTTTTCATGATGCGTGTAAATATTAAAAGTACGATCAGCAAATTTAAAAGTAGTTAAAATGATGGTGTATAGTCATTGGGAGTTGTATGGAATTCTAAACTAAGTCAGCAAAATGATTTAACTTTGACTTGTACCACAATAAGAATTACAGAAATATATGAACAATAATACTGAGAAAGTGAAGCATGTAATATGCAATGAAAATGATGCATTACACTGGATCTGGGGTGTAGGGCTGGAGCATGGGGGGGGCGTGTGGCCCCACTGTTTCATTTGGAAACTCTTGCATTACATTGTTATGTTATATTACCCCCACCCACACCCCCCGCTCATTATCACACGCTCTCCCATGCCTCTGGGCAGGGTACTGGGCATCAATGCTATAGTACATTTGTAGTCATCATCCCTGACAGACTACTGGGCTGTAATCCAGAGGGAGGGGGGTCCTTTGTTCCCTTTGCCTCGACACCCCCTGTATGGTTTTCATACTAAGAGCAGCCTATGACCTAGATGCCAAGCGTTAGAGCCAATTTTGTGCTGTTACTGAATATGCACATTTGAATATTTGGATTTAATATTTCATTAGAATTTGTAACAGAATTTTGAGTTATATTTCTAAAAATCTGAATACTAGATTCAAGACCTTTATTTTTCTGAGACGTGTCGTGTGTAAAGGAACTTCGAGGTTCGGTGCTAGTGAGTCAACTTTGTTCCTCCCCCAGGGGAACTCTGAAAGCACTATATGCAAATATTACAAATGTGTTTCCCCCTAAATAAACCCTGGCATATATAGATGCACATGACTTTGACCTTCACCATAAATAAATGAGGACAGTGACGCTGTAGCCATATTAAAATAAAAATGACAATGATAAAACCATCATTTAGATGGCAGAACCAACAGAAATAACCAGCGTTAAAGCTACTTTTTATTCCACGTCACGTATCAAGCGCTCGTCGGCCTTCTCTTATGTAAAAATTCAGGTTTATGTTTTTCCACTGTAAATTTTACGGAACACAACAATGGGTTGCATCTACTTTTGTGAGGAACAAGTAAAGTCACCCTTGAGATAACTTTAGGGCACATTTCATCAGTTCATCTTTCTGATAACATGTATGCAAATTGTGCAATCCAGACTTTCTTTAAATGCTATAAAAACTCGATTGTTTGTTAAATGAAAATCAATCGTGTGCCTCTACGAAACAGTGACATAGTTATACAATGTAGCAAATGAGGAAAATTCATTATTTGCACCGTATAACAAATAAAGTGAAAGAACATTCCTGTCATACATTTCACTATAGAATAGTAATAATGCAGCAAAATGTATTCGAGAATAAGTCTGACTGGAGAAAAGTTGCTCTGCTGATTTCCACAGGAGTGCTTGACGTCCACAAGCTGTATACTGCTTTGCATCTAAAAATACATCGTGCAGCTCTAGTCCAAACATATGGCGCATATATATATATATATACATATATATATATATATATATATATATATATATATATATATATATATGCATGCTAGTCATCCTTGCCTGGTACAAGATACAGAATCAGGTGTTGTAAATGAAGAGCTAAGCTTTGATATACATTTGAAATGATCGTGGCAGAGATTATTATTATTATTATTATTATTATTATTATTATTATATTTAATTATGTTTACACTTGGGCAGAGTCGTCAGAAACACTGCATTTAAAACAGGATAAAAACTCACCATTTTGACGATTCGGTTCGGTCGAATTGTAAAAACACAACTAGGCACGATCTGCCAGCGGTCCTCACAGTGCACCTCTAATGCGGACTCCGTGAGTAAATAGCGCTGACGGAGCCGCACATTTGTATGCTGCGTGTTGGTGACAGTAAGCAGAGGAGGGACGAAGCCGCAGCTACCACTCACGCTTAGCTAACGCGCGTCTTAAACCTATAGCCGGGGGAACCTGCGTGAGGGCACGAAGGAGTTACAACAAGCGTAGCAGAAAGTGGCAGAACCCAGTTCGCAGAGATTTTAATTTAATGTAAAACGCATTAACTTGTTTTAAATATAATTTGTTTTTATTTCTATAGTTTATTTTGTGATTAATTTTATATGTGTAATATTTTTCTAGTGTACATTTTATATTAGCACTTGGTTTTGTTTGTTAATCATAATGCATGAGATGTAGTTTAAACAAAATAAAACAATGTAGGGCTATCAAAATGTATAGCTTTTCGGAATCAACTGAACACAATGAATTTTGCTTTTATTATTTGTGCTGTTACCACATACACTGCACCTTTATACACTGCACCTCTATACACTGCGCCTTTATACACTGCACCTCTATACACTGTGCCTTTATACACTGCACCTCTATACACTGCACCTTTATACACTGCACCTCTATACACTCATTAAAGAATCTTGAATGCTGATGAAATAGAGACTGGTGCAGTGCTTTGTTGTACCCTGAATTTTATCTCGTGTGTGTGTGTGTGTGTGTGTGTGTGTATAGAAACAATGCATTTAAAATAGGAAACATCCTTTTTATATGGAACGCCGTATTACTCAAAATGTAATAAATATATCTATAAATAAATAAATTTAATAAATTAATATTTTGCTAATTAATTAAATGTGTCCTTTTGTTTTTAAATAAATAAATATTTTGCTAATTAATTAAATGTGTCCTTTTATTTTTAAATAATATTTTTTTATATGATTACTTAAATAATTTGAATTATATTTCACAATGAAGTTCAACTTTTCACCAGGGCTGGACTTACCATAAGGCTGGAGTAGGCAGCCGTCTGAGTCCGCATACACAAGGAACCCCATGAAGCTGCATTTAAGGATATAATATGATCATGTAAATGACAGCAACATGATTGTTATTTGCATTTTTAGAGACAGTTTTCAGGATGGCCTGTCGCAGCTGTAATAGATAATTCCACTACCCAGCTATCTGTTACCACTGGAACCTATACCGGCTGCTCACTGCCAAGACTAACAGACTTAGACTTACATCTCCCTTGTTTGATACTGTCTCACTAGAGTGACAGACAAATTGTAAACAGACGTGGAGAGAACACAATTAAACAAGTGTATGGAAAAAATGTCCTTCTTTTTAAATTTGACCGATCAATCCTCCAGCACGATACCCCCCCCCCCCACTCCGCCCATCAGCAAGGTTTACCAACAGCATTCCTGCCCTCACCCTGATTGCTAAGTTTTACTGCGTGTTTGCTGCAGTTTGATTAGAGTAATATTGATATTCTTTTTTTTATAATTGCCTCTGGTTTATATTTCAGCTTCAAAATATCTCCAATGGCCCATTTAGGGAGCCCCTTTAGCCATGTCAGCCTCGGCCCCCCAGAGAAGTTAGTCTGCCCCTGCTTTTCACATTGATGTATTTCTAAATGACAGTTTTCCGAACCAGCTTTTTATTTCATAATGCCCACTTTTCGTAATAATGGTGCGCTCTGTCGATCACATTGAGGGTGGTGGGGCTGTGATTTGCTAATCCATTGCAATCCATTATTCGGCCTAGCAGACATAGGAAGTAGTTTGATAAGTTCCGGTAGGCTATTGGGGTCAATAGTTGGATCCATAGATTAGCGAGCAAGTATTACGACGAAACTCTTACCGCTGTGGAATATAATCCGTAGGACAGAATACGTCTCTATGCGGCATTTTTTCTTCTCTGTTAGTCGCCACATGGACTTTTTAAACTCTCTACACATGGTAAAAATGCCCACGTTTAGGCGTCCTAAAAATGCATGTTTAAAAACCCATGTAGATGTGCGTTTTTATACTACGTCAACACGGTACAAATGTACCTGTTAAAAAGGTCTTTCACTACTAAGATATACCTAGGCTAATATTACTTGCCTATTCAAGGACAAAGGGTGCAGTCTGTAATGTGTTTTATTGGATGATATATGATAGGCCTAATACCTGACCAGGAGTTCAAGCCCCCAGAGAGCCCAATATAAAACTATATATAATACTATATACTATAAACAAGTATACTATTATTATACATTTCTATTAACACATCCATTATCGTCACTATTGAACGCACAGTCTTACCTACACACTTTAATTTCACGTTCATGTCATTTTTACCAGCACTTTCACAAATATTAATAAAGCATGGAGTGTTACGTGGAGGCATGGAAAGTGGCAAAAGCAAGCGTCAGGACAATCAAAATGGGCTTTATTGGTATTCAGCAAAACACAAACGGGGAGAATTCAAAAGGACCATGAGGGGTCAAAACGGGGAGACAAGGAACAGATAGGGGAGAAAGCATGGGACAAACTCTGGAGCACAAGCAGGTAGCAGCATCACTAACGAGGGAGCAGATGAGGGGCAGCTGGAGTGAGTCACACAAGGGCAATGCTAAGACAAATTAGTAACAGGTGTGGCTCACTGGGGAAGGAAGGAGGGGGCAGGAATGCGGGACGGGACACGGAGCAGCTTTGACATAAAGAAAGAAGCTTCATCAGAGTGTAAGTTCAATATATGATCTGTGCAAATTCCAAAACATCTTTGATAAATCACTTCTTACACAATTTATTTTTCCTGAATTTGCTCGCAGCATTAATGATGCGCACTTTGACAATGTGTCCGATATTAGACCAACTTCCCAGCAGATGCAAACTTTTTTTTGGCATGGTAGGGAAAAAGATTTGCTGACATGCGTTCTGCCATTTGTCAAATGCCGTAGTAAAGATATAAGCATGACATACCGTATTGTAAGTGTTTAGTCATTAGCACATCAGCTTATGACTGTAATATATGGAAGGTCAAAAGGGTCAGTAATATTGCCTGTTACTTGCTCTGAAATGTACGGAGCTGTTTACATATGCTCTAACAAGGCTATACTTTGCAGTACGCTAGTGCTGTAGTTCTCAAGACCGGTCTCTAGACCAATTTTTTGTAGTCTCGGTCTTGTCTTGGTCTCGGACATAGCGGTCTCGATGGGATGGGGAAAAAAAGAGAAAACAGCACATCCTCACAGAACAGTATCATTATTTATTACGCGCTTCAATTCAAATGCAACCAGTCAGATGCATCTATTTTAAAAACGTTACATTTTATAAATTTTCTCCACGGACACTGCCAGTGCTTCACAGTCCACACACATCATACACATCGCATCATACGAAGTCGGCAAAGAAATGTCCGAAAATGTCCGCGAAGTCTATAGCATAGTTAGAATTCAAATAAATTAGGTATTTTACATTGATTAGAAAGCACGGTCTTGGATGTGCAAGTCAATCTGGAGGCTCATTCTGTTCAATTCAAAGCAAAGGATCATTACATAGCTGTATTCATAGCTTACCTGAGGCCTCTGTCCCTGGTATAAGAGACTTAATATGAACATCTTTCTGGTACATCCCATCTCTTTCCCTTGACGAGGTCTGATAAAATGGTTATAGGAGAGGATTGCTGAGAATATTATTTTCCATCACGCCTCGTAACTATGACAAATCTGGGAGATTTTAAATGATAGACATATGGACATATGGACAATATAATTGAAAAGATAACATAAATTTGAGTAATGACACTTTACAGCAATACCTTTTTTCTCCACAGTTGATCTGGGTAATGTGATGTCGATTCTAGCCCTAGTCTGTTTTCGGTCTTGGTCTTGGTCTCGACCAGTCTTGGTCTTGGTCTCGCCTTAGTGTGTCTTGGTCTTGGACTTGGTCTTGGACTTGGACAGCATTCCATGTGTTTGATGTTCCATTCACAAGCTCAATTACACTCCAAAGTGATTGACAGAGCACACCATTATTATGAAAAGTGGGTATTACAAAATAAAAAGCGATTATTCAGAAATACATCAATGTGAAAAGTTGAACTTTATTTGTGAAATATAATTCTAATTATTTAAGTAAAAATATAAAATTGTATTTTAAAAATAAAAGGTCACATTTAATTAATTATTGAAATATTTATTTATTTAAAAAGTGAAGGACACATTTAATTAAGTATTGAAATCTTTATTTGTTTGTTTCTTTATTGATTATTTATTTATTTGTTTTGAGTAATATGGCGTTCCGAAATTGACAACGTTATAAATAAAGATTTTTAATTGAAGTAATAATTGTGTTCTTCAAACTTTGTTTTCATCAAGAAATCCTCCTTTTACAGAAATTGCAGCCTTATAGACCTTGGTCATTCTAGCTGTCAGTTTGTTGCGGTAATCTGATGAGAATTCACCTTCCTGAAGCATCTCCCACAGGTTGGATTGGCTTGACGGGCACTTCTTATGTACTATTTGGAATTTGGTCAAGCTGCTCCTAGATCCAGTGACTGTGCTGGCTACTCCCATTATACACAGAATTCCAGCTGACTGCTTCTTCCCTAAATAGTTCTTGCACAGTTGGTAGCTGTGTTTGGGTTATTGTCCTGCTGTAGGACGAAACTGGCTCCAATTAAGTGCCGTCCACAGGGTGTGGCATGGTGCTGCAAAATGGAGAAATAGTCTTCCTACTTCAAGATCCCTTTTACCAGTTATGATAATCATTTACGACATTAACAATGTCTACATTGTATTTTTGATCAATTTGATGTTATTTTGATAAACAAAAAACATGCTTTTCTTTCAAAAACAAGGAAGTTCTGCCATGGAACGAGGGTCATTAGGTAGAAGCACTCAGTGTGGCACACAGCCGTGACCTGAAATACTCACTGGGGCAAACAAAATATGTGCTAACAAGTGTGAGTGATTGTGCCACCTGGCTGGTGTCAGTCAGCACTGTCATTGTGCAGCAAACACTCACAGAAGCTGCGTTCCCCTTAGGGTCAGGAGGATGTTTGCATAACAACAGGACATGGTTCCTGCTCTTTATTCCTGGCAGTATTCACGTGCAGCGATCTG